GTCCCTTAGTCCTCTTCTGCCAAGAGACTGTAGAGACTCACGAAACTAAATTAAACAACAAGTTCCTAATATTTTGTTGTGTGACAGTGAACTGTGGCGACTCGGTGTTCCACTGTTTTTCCCTGAGTTTGCATACAACGAAGCAGAAAACACTTGTGATGCAGCACAGGACAGCAGAGGTTTACTGTGCAACTGTGCACTCTGTTACAGTCATTGATGCATGTGAGTGTTGTCATCTGTGTGTGTTTGTGTGTGTATGTGTGTGTGCTGTGAGTGTGTGTGTGTGTGTGTGCGCTGTGTGTGTGTGTGTGTGTGTGTGTGTGTTTGTGTGTGTGTGTGTGTGTGTGTGTGTGTGTGCTGTGTGTGTTGCGAGAGCTTGTGCGGCGTGCACGTGTTTGTTGTGTTGTGTGTGTGAGTGTGTCATCTTGTGTGTGTGTGTGCTGTGTGTGTTGCTTCATGTATCAGTCCAGGTGGGACAGCGGGACGGTCGAGCTTGCTGCACAGAGCAGCGTCTGTATCTGTTCAGCTGCTCTGAGTGAGCTGCATTTAGCGTTTGTGCCTTGTGTCCATTGGTTTCATTTTTAACTCCCTTCACTCACTCTGGAACAGTGAACAGAGCGGGATTAACACACACACCACACACACACATATATAATATACACACACATATATATATATATATATGTGTTGGTGTTGTGTGTGTGGTGTTTGTGTATATGTATTGTATGTATGTAGAGAATTTTTGCTACCAACGTATGGGATTTATTTTTCACCTCACTCCAGGTTTCACCCCACTTTTTATTCTATTTCATTTTATTTCATTTTTACTTTATTGTGTCTATTATTTATTTGTCTCACTTCGCTGGTCTGTTTCTGTGTCTTTTTGTAACGGCTCCTGTCTGGAGGGGGTTCGGGGTGACAGGCCCTAAAGGGATTACTTTAATATGTTTCTTATTTTATTATTTAATACCTCTTTTTATATTATTTCTCTCTTGCATTTTCTTTTGAAATGTTTTACTCCCGTCTGCTCTCTTGGACACTGATCTGATAGCTTTTGAAAATTCAATAACATAAAGGTTAAAAAGAAAAAACAAAAAGAGGTACGGCTCAGTTGTCTTCTGCTTCACTCATGATGTGAATATAGAGAAATTGTTGTGTGGAGTCTAACCTGGCAGCAGCTGCTTGACCTGCTGTTTCATCAACGGCTCGCAGACGCCTTGTGGACAATAGATCATTTCATTGAGCCTCGACAGTGAGACAGGACAAAACAGGTCACAGTCCTCAGGCAGCAGCCGGCGTATGTTCATTCTCACACTGTCACAGAAGAAGAAGCTAGCATAGAAGTAAGAAGAAGAGGACGGAAAAAGAAGAAGAAGAAGAAGAAGAAGAAGAAGAGAGGAAGAAGAAGCAAGAAGAGAAGAAGAAGAGGAAGAAGAGAAGAAGAAGAATGAAGAAGAAGAGAAGAAGAAGAAGAAAGAAAGAAAGAAAGAGAGAAGAAGAAGAAGAGAAGAAGAGGAAGTAAGAAGAAGAAGAAGGAAGAACGAAGAGAAGAAAGAAAAGAAGAAAGAAGAAGAAGAAGAGGAAGAAGAAGGAAGAAGAAGAAAAGAGAGAAGAGGAAGAAGAAGAAGAAGAAGAAGAAGAAGAAGAGGAAGAAGAAGAAGAGAAGAAGAAGAAGAGGAAGAAGAAGAAGAAGAAGGAAGAAGGAGAAGAGGGAGAAGAAGAAGAAGAAGAAAGAAGAAGAAGAAGAAGGAAGAAGAGGAAGAAGAAGAGAAGAGGAAGAAGAAGAAGAAGAAGAAGAAGAATGAAGGTCTCTGCTTCACCACTGATTTTGAACAGTTTCATTTGAAGCAGTTCTGGCGACTAATCATTCAGATTGATGGTTTTTCTAAATCTGTTCCTGCTTCATTTGTTTTGCCCGTTGACCCGTCCCTCCAGTGGAGCACTCCTTCGTTCTTCTACAGACTCAGGCCGAGCGGCTGTTTGACTTAGCAAGAGACTTTTGTTTCTTTCACAGTCCGTCTCCCAGCGAAACCACAACACATCATTCTCTGCAACAATTAACCATGAGAGGAAACTGTGTTTTGTGTTTTGATGCATAAATGGAACCAAACTCTTCATTCAAGTGGCGGCCTCGGTCTTTAACAACCCCTAAGATATTTTAATAGATGCTGACAAAGTAAAATCATTTCTTTTTCTCTCATTTTTCTCCATTGTTTTGAGCAGATATGCTCATCATGACACCTTCTTTATGTAGTAATTTTATTTTTGTGTATTACAATGAAAGCTGTAAATCAGCATAAAACACGTTTCGACAGCAAACAGCTAATCTTTAGTCAGAGACGGAGGCTGTTGCAGTTTTTCTACACTTGTTGTCAAGCTCCACATTATATGCATAAGTGACATGTTATAAATTGCCTGTTATTTGCGCTTGATAACAGTTGCGAGCTAAGGTGGGTAAGAAGTAAGCTTGGATACATGTTAGGTGTTTGAATTTCATAAGCTTTATATTCTGGTGAATGTTTCCATTTTTTCTCTATAGTTTGGATAGATGCTCCTGTGGAAACTGCAACCGTGCCCACAGCAGCTGAGAATATCTGCTGCTAGGAGACACCACAGGTAGCATTCTCACTGTACAAACTAATCAGTTAATTTGTTTTGATTTACATTTATAATGAACCATTTGTAATTCACTTGTAGGTTACCAGACGGCTTGGAGATCGAGGAAGATTTTACCATGTATGGGCAGGCCATCCGGGTTGGAGCCGCTCTTGCCTCATGTGTTCTGCCTGCAACCATGTTAAACGCGGCTGACTACGCGTTCTTACGGTTGAGAGTTAATACACCAGTTACGTTTTGCTTCTTTGTAAAAACATATAGGTTTCAATGTAACTCAAGATTTAGGGCAGGTCTTGTTTTACTTCAGTGCACATTAATTTCTTACAATGGAATAACACACCAACACACGGGAGTATAACACACCCTCAAATAAATTAGTTTGGCTGCTCTATTGATTTGTAATAAGTTCTTCTATCAGCAGGATAGGTGCATATAATATATTGAATTCAGAGGGAGTCATTATCTTTAGTATACGATCAAGCATTTTATTTACATCAAATGGAGGCCTTTATAAGTCAGTGATATAAAAAAGCGTAGGATCACTGGATCCATAAAAAAAAATTGTGAGACCACACCATAGATATGTTTAATATCTAAATTTTTGCCCTGTCCAGTTAGTTGTTTTTAGTCGCGTACAAGGTATTCTAGCCTATAGGAGCTTTGTTGGGCTGGTGCTGGGGCTTCCTTGCGGACGCAGAATCTGGGTCGTCATTCCAGCCTGCCTGGTCCTACGCATCAGTGCCGAGTTTTTCCTGACGGCCACAAGGCCAGTATGTGGGTTTCAGACTGCCCCCATGATAGAACCAGGAACACATAGCTGGGATGTGGGACCTCCTTCCTTCTCAGGGCCGCTCGAAACTGTGCAGTGAGGTCCTCTGGGAACGGGGGATGGCCAAAGAAGCCTTCTGTGTATGGTTCCCCAGGTCAAAAAGATTTTCAAACATAGAGGTCCACCACATTTCCCTGTTTGATTAAAAACACAAAAGATTTTGTTTACTTTTTCACTTTTTTGTTGTTTTTAACAAACAACGACTGAAAGTCTGTTGCTAACTTACCTCCTGACATTTTGTTTCTTAATTACCTCCTGACATTTCCTTTACTTTATTTTTGTTGTTGGTTGGAAACTGTCATTAACATTAATACCTGCATATTAACTAATAAACAATGTGTACAAAAACATTATTTGGTTGTAAAATAAAAAATAATATTACACACTTATAGAATGTCGGCTCAGTCTTAACTGGTGTAAGCTCTGCATTCTCCCTTCATGCCTTATGGAAAATTGGACCTGAACAGTTGGTTCAACCTTCTTTTGTTTGGCTTGTTGGTTGTCAGCATTTTCATTGTAGGACATGGCAGCCAGGAGAGTCTGGAGGTAGAGTAAAGAGAAAATCCAAAAAGATGTTAATGATGACAAGGAAACCTTAGCCTACCACAAAACTCTCACAAGTTCTAAGTAACACAGCTTCATTTACCTGCACAGCGCGTTCCAAGCACTTGATAAATGACTGTTAGGTTTATCCAAAAAGTAGATGTTCAGGTGGCTAACAAGACCTGTACTTCTATGTCGAGGCTGAAGAGTCTTCAAGGATAACTGTTGTGCCACAAGTGGGTCAGTCTGGCATGCCAACATTCCCTTGTTGCAGGAAGATGTACAGAGCTGAACAGAGGTAAACGGAGCGTTACACCAACATCTCTCTCAAATGTTAGTGTATGGCAACAGCTGCAAGCAGTGCAAAAATGATTAAAACACATGCAGAACAGGCTCTCGTGTTACATTACAGTAAAGCAACATAAAATGGTTTGAAACTTACAGCTCCCAAAGTTTGAAGTTGGGCTCGGACAAGTCGGTGCTGATCCAAGCTTTTATCTTCAGAATGGCAGCGATCCCGCGTTTGTACTGGGCCTCGATGAGAGAGTGATGAATGTTTAGCCCGCTACAACACTTTAGGAGTTTCTAGTGTCACTGAGAACATGTTTAATACATGAAGCGACGTCACGTACAGACACAAACAACGCTTTTGTCAAACGACACTTACAACGTCAAACATTAACTTTAACGAAGCATCGTTAAAACTGTTCACATTAAAACCTGAAGTTGAATTTAAATGAATTTACTTCTGTAAGTGTTCGCCATTTTTTCTGCTCCTCCATCAAAACAGTCCTCCTCTTCTTCTACGGTCTGTTCACAGCAGGAGATTCTCCCTGACGGAGCCTTGCTGCCGCCTACAGGCCGGTGCTCGGAAACGCATTTAAAAAAAAAAGCTAATGAGTAAATAGAGAATCTAAAGAAAAGGATAAAGATAAACACATGGAAGCAGTAGCACACAATGTAGACAACTTAATACATAAATAAATTCATGATTAAAAAAATTATATATTACTTTTTCATGAGATCTCTCAAAATTACAGAAAGTAGTCGTATCAAAGTAGTCGTATCAGCAACAGGCTCAAGCCGCAGACTGATGAACTGAAACTAACAGACAGATTGGGATGTTGTTATTTTAATTCAAGAAACTAAAAATGTATATAAAGTTTAATTATACAACCCAAAAGTCATAAATCTGTACCATCAATAAAATTAATTGAAACCCGATAACGTAACGAGGTAAAAACCTGTATCTGTCTGGACATGGTCAGAGTGTGAAATGAGAACCTGATTGAAAACTGCTCTAAAGAACTACGCTCAACAGAAAGGAGGTAAAACTGCTGGAGAAGTTGCTAAAGGTCTCTAGATGACATCATAAGCTAATTAGCATATTCATGAGGTTGGCGTGTCGGAGGTGTTTGCAGGAAGAAGCCAGAAGAAAGAAAGAATTGAAAACTTTTCTTCTTTGTATTTATTTTTAAGATGATATAAAAGTATTGAAATGCAAATTAGCAAAACAAGTTGAAGAAGTGGATTAATTAATTTGACATGTGACCTGAGAGGCAGGAAGTGAAACAGGCGACAGAACAACAGCATCCGTTTAGCTCGTGTTAACTTTATAAAATGCTAAACTGCTGCAGGTTCTTATCCTCCATGACTTCACATCCAGGACCACCACACAGTCAGCAGGGATCCCAGCAGGGCCAGGATGGGCGTTGTCGTGGTAACAGCGTTGCTGGAGTTGCACAGGTTGCTGCTGCAGCAGCGGTAGGTGAAGCTGGAGATGGACGGGAACATCAGGCCGAGGCGGGAGATGTCGCAGTCCGTGTACCTGATACACTGACGGATGGTCTTCCCACCTGTAGTAAATGAAATATTATTTTCAATAATTACAATGATGACGACGCTGTGAAAGTTGATGCGACACCTGGATCGTTCATGTGGGAAAACAGGGTGAAACTTGGAGCTGTATTTTTTTGTATGAAAAGTTTCACAAACAGAGATTATTATTTCTTATCATTATTATTTCTTATGGACACTGACCTTTTTCACTCAGAGTGAGACAGGAGTCTTCATACGTGCAGTCCTGGACCTTCTCACAGCGCCCGGTGTAATCAGAGCACTTGTAGCAGCGAAGTGCAGCTCCTGAAGAAGAAGAAGAAGAAGAAGAAGAAGAAGAAGAAGAAGAAGAAGAAGAAGAAACTGGTTTTATTTTAATACTTTAGCCAATCCAATTATATATTATATATAATAATATAAACTGTTTCATCTCCCAGTTTGTTTTCAGTCCACAGACTCTGACACACTGAAGTCTGTGAAGTCGTTTCTGGAAAAGTTTGATTATTTTGAGATAATCAGAGATTTCCAAACCAGTTCCTGTTTAAAAAACGGGAACTGGACGTGAAGTGGATGAATGTTCCTTTAAATCTGTTGGGAGGAAGCGTCCGTTGTTTCTGGGAAAACTGTGATGAAGTAAGTCAAAAACTGTTTCATGGACTGACTCATAAAAGCTTCACACACTCTCTCACACCACTTCTCTCTCAACACACACACACACACACACACACACACACACACACACACACACACACACTCACACTCACACTCACACACACACACACACACACACACACACACACACACACAGCTAGCTTGAGGGCTGGATGACACTTTATTTAACATGTTTAATCAGTTTATAAATATTTTTATAATGTGAGCAGATGTAAAGATTTTTTACGAGTTTATTTGTCAACAATGAACAACTTCTTTATCTGATTCCACTTGTGTTTTACTATATTGTCAATATGATAATACAGATCAATAAACCAGCAGATGGATTTATGGATCTGCTGTTATCTCAGTCACTGTTGGTTTATAGATTAGTTAGTTTGACAGTTACTTCAGTTCTTTGTCTTTAAAACTTAAATTTTCATTCTATAAGAAAGTAAAGTGTCAAACAATGTAAAGTGTTAGTATTCTTTAAGTTAATTACTCTGTTAACGAACTTTAAAAGTGTCTGGCTTGATAAATGAAAGCAGGGCTGAAGGAAGGTGTGGTGCGTTCAGGGCCCGTGTCCCGGTCCACTCACCCGGCTGCAGCATCCCACACCAGAGCAGCAGCAGCAAGAGTCCGAGGCAGCGCTTCATGTCGTCTCAGGGACAAACCTGGAGAGAAACCAGACGGGAGAAGGCGTCAGGTCAGAGCGACGGAGGAGCGTCTGGCTGGGTTTGGTGTCCGATCCCGTTCCACTGCGACCCCCCGAGACAGACGGCCGTCGACTGACAGCAGCTCTTTGTCCGCTGGACCACAAAGACTCCCTGTCTGGCCAAAGGTCCTCCTCCTCCTCCCCTCCAACAATCACTGAGGGCGGTGTTGTGGCTGTAGTACGCTGTTGATGTTTGCTGCTGCTCAGATGTTTATAGTCAAACTGTATCTGCTGTATATGATGCACATGACGTGATGAATGTCATTTCTGCATGACTGCCCCTGGTTAACCTTCAGCTCAGTCTGTAACACGTGTGTTATCACCTTATCGTGTCATATGACATTATATTTATATATCATTATCATCACTGATGCATTAGTGTATGAGCATTATTTCACTGCTGCAGCTGATTTTAAATTCTTTACATCCAGTTGTTTATTTTAATGTGAGTTTCTTAAATTCTTCACATTTTCTACATAAAATCTGCAAAGTAACAGAATCAAACGCGTCGAGCAGGAAGAAGAGCGACGTCTCCCTCAAGCAGAAGATTAAAGTGACGTTCAACAGAAACCAGTTCAAACACCTGAGATCTGGACCCGAGTAAAACGTACAACTACGACAACGATTTTAGATCTGACTCCTCGTTTCATATTTAACAAATTAAAAGCTGCCAGGAAACAAAACACTTCCGAAATATCAGAGACCAGTTTCAGGTTCAACAAGAAGACCGGGTCAGAACCTGGTCACGTCTGGACCGCGTCTCCGCCATCTTGGACAACACCACTTGGACAAACAATATTAGAGTCGAGTTTGATGCCACCTGACACGTGCAGTGTTATAAAGTGTATTAGCACTAGCATTAGCAACGTTTCTGTTCCTCAGTAAATTTACTGACAACGACACTGACTGGTCGAGCAACGACCAATGAGGAAGCTCCAACACCTGCCCGTCTGACCAATGGTGTAACTTCATCACTCACTCACTCAGTGACAAAGACAAAAAAAATAGTTTCATTTTCTTTACACAGAAATACAGCAACGAACACAACTATACGGTTTATCTAATTATATTATTGATTCTTTATTTATTCTCTTAGAGTTGTAAGTTTGAATATTTCATAATTGTTTTCATGTGTCGTTTGAATGTTGCTCTGTGAAGTTTGTTTTGAAGCTGCTGTATAAATAAAGTTTCTGTTATTAGAGAGGGAAACCTTTCGTCACTGAGCTGAAACGCAGCAGGTCACAGTGAAGCGTGTGTGTCCTCCTCTCTCTCTGTGGGCGGGTCTGCCGCCGGTTTGGTATTTGAGGGTTTTTGTTGATGCAGCAGATTCACTCTGACGCATCAATCCTAACCTTTGGATCTGGATCATGAGTTGTTGTTCAGCTGCACTTTAACTTCTGGATCTTCACAGACGAGAGTCAGAAAACATGTCACTGTCAGTCTGTCAGTCTGTGGTCTGTGACTTCAGGCCTCCTCCTCTTCCTGCTGCCTCGGTTTTCTACGGCACACTTCTTCAAAAAGTATTTTTTAACTACAACTAGTCAGAACTTCTCTGCTGTCCTTTATTCATCCTGATGAGTCCTGATCGTTATGAGTCAAAGCCTTTAAAATCCTACTTTAGTAAAAACATCAGCTTCATGTGGTTTCACAGAAAAGTCCTGAGAAGTGTTTGATCGTTCTGAGCCACAGCTCTGAGACTCTGAGACTCTGAGAGACTGAGACTCTGAGACACTGAGACTCTGAGACTCTGAGAGACTGAGACTCTGAGACACTGAGACTCTGAGACTCTGAGAGACTGAGACTCTGAGACACTGAGACTCTGAGACTCTGAGAGACTGAGACTCTGAGACACTGAGACTCTGAGACTCTGAGAGACTGAGACTCTGAGACACTGAGACTCTGAGACTCTGAGAGACTGAGACTCTGAGACACTGAGACTCTGAGACTCTGAGAGACTGAGACTCTGAGACACTGAGACTCTGAGACTCTGAGAGACTGAGACTCTGAGACACTGAGACTCTGAGACTCTGAGAGACTGAGACTCTGAGACACTGAGACTCTGAGACTCTGAGAGACTGAGACTCTGAGACACTGAGACTCTGAGACTCTGAGAGACTGAGACTCTGAGACACTGAGACTCTGAGACTCTGAGAGACTGAGACTCTGAGACACTGAGACTCTGAGACTCTGAGAGACTGAGACTCTGAGACACTGAGACTCTGAGACTCTGAGAGACTGAGACTCTGAGACACTGAGACTCTGAGACTCTGAGAGACTGAGACTCTGAGACACTGAGACTCTGAGACTCTGAGAGACTGAGACTCTGAGACACTGAGACTCTGAGACTCTGAGAGACTGAGACTCTGAGACACTGAGACTCTGAGACTCTGAGAGACTGAGACTCTGAGACACTGAGACTCTGAGACTCTGAGACACTGAGACTCTGAGATTCTGCTCTGAAGAGGATTAGGGCCACGTGAAAAAAATACATTTGTCTCACAATTCTGACTTTAAGAATTCAGACTTTAATCTCTCCTTAATTTTGAGATTAAAGTCTGAATTTTCTTTTCCCACGTGTCCCTAGTCCTCTTCTGCCAGAGACTGTAGAGACTCAGACTAAATTAAACAACAGTTCCTATATTTGTTGTGCAGTGAACTGTGCGACGGTTTCACTGTTTTCCCTGAGTTGCACAACGAAGCAGAAAAACTGTGATGACACAGGAACAGCAGAGTTTACTGTGCAACTGTGCACGGTTACAGTCATGATGCATGTGAGTGTTGTCATCTGTGTGTGTGTGTGTGTGTGTGTGTGTGAGTGTTGTCATCTGTGTGTGTGTGTGTCTGTGTGTGTGTGTGTGTGTGTGTGTGTGTGTGTGTGTGTGTGTGTGTGTGTGTGTGTGTGAGTGTTTTTATGTGTGTGTGTGTGTGTGTGTGTGTGTTGTCATGTATCAGTCCCAGGGTGTGACAGACGGGACGGTCGGCTGCTGCACAGAGCAGC